GAGGGTTCATTTTGGTTTTCTAAAAGTTTCTAGAAGCCCTCGTTTGGGACGACGAACTCATTGCGTCCTTAGTAGGCCACGCCCCCTGGGTCACTGTGGGCCAGCCAGCAGTAGGTGTACCCGGGGGCGTGCTCGACCCCCGTGCCTGTTTGCTGCGTCATGCAGAGCAGGTCTTGCGGCTCGCGTTCAGTTCCATCACCAGGATGGGTGGCAACTGGTTCCCACACTTGTTTAAACTCCTTTACAAATGTTCTAACCTGCAACAGTTAAAGTCATTCTTTATAAACGTCCAAGTCATAAAAAAATCAATTCCAACACATCCAATTATATTAGGTGTTACTGGTTAAATACAATCCGTTATTGCTTACCTTAGAGTGAAGGTCAGAGGGTTCGTTAAAGAAGGTAGTAGAAATCTCTTGCATGTAAGGCTTTTTGACGTCTTCAACTGGTGTGAGGACGGTAACGCTCTTGGCCCTGCGGGGGGCAGAATCAGGGAATTACATAAAATCTAGTTGGTGTCCAGGACAATGTGTCGGGCAATCTTTAATTTTAAGTGGAGGGAGGAGAGTGGATAGAGAGAGAGGGGGGAGAAGGAGAGGGAGGGCGAGGGATGGGGATGGGGGCAAGATTCCGGATGAACTGTTATCCTTATAGGGATGCCAACGCCTTAGATTTATTAAGCTTGCAATTGTCTAAAGTAGCATTAGAAGAACTTTTCGCGTTACTATTTTCTTTTTCTTTTTTAGAGAATAACTCAAAAGATTTTATTCGATTTACAAATTAATTGGTTTAAGAAAGTAAAACATGGTAAAGCTATGTACGAGAAATATCATCGATTATGGTTTGGTAATTCCCTTTAAGAAAGGACACATTTCTGAAAAGATGTTTCCAATTCACGAGCCTAAAATTAAGGGGATACCAACACGTAAACCCTTTTTTTTAAAGGCTGAGAAAGATTCTAGATCACCCAGGTTCTCCCAACCCAGGACCTCGCGTCAAATGAAACTAGTCATAACTGATGACAAACGAGTGCGCTTTACAAACCGGAGTGCGGGCCAGATGACCGACTCACCCCAAAGGCCACGAATTTACGAAGGAAGCAAGAAATTTCAGCCACGCCCCCCCGGCTCCTCTCGCGCCGGCATTACCATGGACGGAGAGGCATTCCGCGTCCGCCCTTTGACGCTCACCGGGCACGGGTTACTATTAAAGCGCGAGTCGCTGCAAGGGATCCAGTAGCGTTCGCAGTCAGCTGAGGACACTTTACCCGATGGTTCTCTTTCGGTGTCAACTCGTGTTTGTCTTGCTCGAGCGTCAAGGAAGGGACAAGAAGCGCGCAAGCATGGCTGTCCTTCCCGAGTGTCGCAAACAGGGTCGTAGCGACGCTTGTGTTTTATGGTGGTGAGGGAAGAGTGCTTGAGAGACATCTTGGCGTCCCTAAGCATGCGGTTTTCTTGTTCTGTCTCTCTCTCTCTCTCTCTCTCTCTCTCTGGTCTCTCTTTCTCTTCTCCATCTCCTCATCTTCTCTTTCTCTTCATTGTCTTCTCCCATTCTCTCTCTCTCTCTCTCTTCTCTCCTTCTTCTTCTCTCTCTTCGCGGGTCATCTCGATGTGCCCCCTCTCGACGTACGTCGCCGTACTCCTGGAGGTGACTCTCGTTTCTCCATTCTCTCGCACTCCACTCACTCACTCCACTCTCTCGGAGTTCGGTTCGGTCTCTCTCCTCTTCTCTCTGTCTCGCTCTCTCTCTCTCTCTCTCTCTTCTCTCTCGCAGATCGGTCGCCAGAGTCGATCGATGCGTCTCTCTCTCGAGGGGCGAGATCTCGTACTCTGAGATCGACTCTCTCGATGCATCGCAGAGATCGCCGAGACGAGAGAGAGTGATTCGAGACCTCTCGAGAGACTGCTCGAGGACGAGAGAGAGGATCGATCCCTGACTGACCGAGTACGTCCTCCCTCTCGCTTACTCCGATGATCAGATCTCGACGAGAGATATCTCGCCTCTCGAGCATCTGCTTCTTCCTCCCGGAGAGATGTCAAATAATGAATCGTGAGTGAGTGAACAGTGATGAGAGAGAGAAAGGAAAGAGAGAGGAGAGGGAGAGGTGGAGAGAGAGAGAGAGAGAGAGAGAAGAGAGAGAGAGAGAGAGAGGAGAGAGAGAGAGAATGAGAGAGAGAGAAGAGAGAGAGAGAGAGAGAGAGAGAGAGAGAGAGAGAGAGAGAGAGAGAGAGAGAGAGAGAGAGAGAGAGAGAGAGAAAGAGAAACGCACTGCTTAGGGAGCGCCAAGATGTCTTCAAGCACTCTTCTCACGCCCATAAAACACTAGCTCGCTACGCACCTGCGGTTCTTTGAAGCGCTGTTTGCGACACTCGGGAGGACAGCCATGCTTGCGCTTCTTGTCCTTCTTGACGTCGAGCACGACAAACACGAGTTGAGCGAAGAGAACCATCGGGGTAAAGTGTCTCAGCTGACTGCGGAACGGCTACTGATGCCGCTGCAG